CTATCTGGACACCAGACCCCGTTGGGGACCAATGAGTCATAGTGCACACCCACCCTGCTTTGCAGCAGGGAGTGGAGGTGCTCTTCAAAGGTGGGCTAAGGCCTTCCAGGCTCCACAGCACCATTGCAGAGCCAGAAGCCTGAGGCTCAGAGAGGCTCAGAGAGGCCCCGAGTCCAAGAAAGGCAATTTGGGCTGCTCCTGGGCCGGGGTGGGCGCACAGAGGCCTGGAGGCTGTTCCCTCGGGGCTGAGCCAGCCCCTCTCCCCGCCAATGGAGGCTGTGCACAGGTCCAGGCCCCGAAGGCCACCCCACCCCCAGCCCACCTGCCAGGGCTGAGATTTCTTCCCAGCAGGGGCTGTTCTCCTGTGTGCAGTGAGGAAGGAAATTGCAAATTAATCTTTATTTCCATCTTGGAAGAAAACCTTAATTCTCTGCATTGAAATGATCCTCGTCATCCCAGGGAATCAATTATGGGCTTTAATTGCAGCCAGTCCTAGCCAATCAGAGCAGGACCCACCCGGCAGGGGGGGGGGTTCCCCCCCCACCTCTCTCTCCTCCCAGAGCTGGTCTCTGTCGCCGTTGCCCCTCCTCCAGGGCCTAGGAGCCTCTGGGACTCTATCTCTTTGTCTCTCTCTCTCTGTCTCTCTTGGTGTCTGTCTCCCTCTTTTCCTCTGTGTGTCTCTCGCCGTGTCTCTGTCTCGGTCTCAGCTGCCCCTCCTCTGCCCCCAGCACCCCCAGGTCTGACAAGCCCCATGGGGGCTGGCTGGCCCCCCGGGGCCTCCTCCTGTGATCAGTCCCTGGCCCCAGAGCCGCAGCTTTGAGGGTGGGGCATGAGGGTGGGGTGAGTTATTGGCCTGGCCGCATCTCCCTGGGGCCTACACTCACCCGGAGTGACCATCCCTGGCCCCACAGGTCACAATATCCCAGGCCACCCTTCCAGGCCAGAGTCATGCTGAGCTCTGTGCTTGGGGATTTGGGTGGGGGTCCCGAAATGGGGTGGGGGCCGTGGGGCCCCAAAGATCTGGGGCCAGGGAGATGCCTGGGTCTTCAGGGCTGGTGCTGCTCCCGGTGAACCTGGGGGCAGGGTCCAGCAGGGAATTGGTGCAGCCACAGAGGAGTGTTGGGGCCTCATCCTTCAGACTCAGGACCGCCCGGAGAGCTGGTCTTCAGGAAAACAGGGCCACGTGGTGTGTGTGACAAGGAGCCTGAGTGACTCCCGACCGCCACACCTCTGGGCCTCACAGAGCTCTGTCCCTCGTTCATCTTTAATTCATGGCTAATACGCCACATGATCTCTTTGAGCAAAATGAAAACCTAAAAGGTAAGGCTAGAGTGCCCTTTCCAGCGGCCTCTTAGGGACAGCCACTGGTTGTTGGTTTGGAGTGCATCCTTGCTTGCCTTTCTCCATGCACTTAAATACATAGACCTGTGTTCACAGGGCGCATGGCGTGTTGCTTTATGGCATTTCTTTTAAGTGTCAAACGGCTCATTCTGCAGGTATCCTATTGCAACTTTTCATGTGTTTGGGGATCAAGCCACAGGATTCTTGGAATTCATTCCACCCTATGCCACCCACCACTGTCTGGGGGGGCCAGTCCACGCCGATGAGTATGTAGTTTGCTTTCCCTGCTCTTCCTCCTATGCACACGCACGGGTGTGTGGTCACGCCCACCGGGCACTAATGTGTTATAGTTACTCGATGCAGCAGCAGCGATGCGGATGTCCTCTCCTAGGAACACGGGTAAGTGTTCCCATCACCCCACCTCTTCACCCCCACGCTATAATCAAACTTTCCCGTTTTTATCAGTTTGACCAATGCTAAATGGCATTTTCTTGTTGCTTTACTTTGTATGGGATGAAGTCCACGGCTGCCTGGGATGTCATGGGGGAGGGCCACAGGTCTGGGGGCCCAGATATGGGGTGGGGAATGGCAAGGTAAGAGGAGGGGATGACAAAGGCCGTGAAGTAACCCTTGACTCAGTGCCTACACATGTGGCCTTCCAAATTCTTGCAGCAGCCCCGAGGCAGCGATGATAAGATCCTGTGTTTCAGGAAAGCCCGCCAGAGAGGATGATGGTCAGAGTGGGCAGGATAGGGAACCACGTCTGGCTGACTCTAAAGCCCTCTAGGCCTCATTCAGGCTGGGTGTGAGGGACACACGTGTACACAGCCTCACACACGTACACCACACACCTGCACACAGACTCCCCAAAACCCATGCACGGGGCTTTGCGGCCACCATGTGTAAGATTCACCCACACCTTTGCATGCTCCAGAATCACCCAGTGTGTACCAGAGGGCACCTGCCTGTGCCTTTACATAGACGTGTGCACGCGGCCTGGCCCAGAGATGGGCTCAGACCCCCTGAGCAGGTGACCCGGGCTGCCACACGCACGTGTGTGCAGGCCTCCCCACGGGTGCCTCAGCCTTGCGTCTGCTCCAGCTCCTGTACACACTCAGTTGTGCAGATGCCCCTACAAACCCTGGCCCATTCAGGACGGCCCGGTGGTCAGGTGGAGACCTCCCTGCACACATCCCCTCCCAGGTTCACCAGCCCTCGTTCACAGCTCAGCCTCTGAGCAACTATTAACATATTTGTTCAGGGATCTGTGGTCTTAACCAGCAGCTTCCGAACTGCACTTACCAGGTTTGCCTGGGGAGGGGGAGGGACAGGCTGAGGGCCAGTGGTGGTGGTGGGGGGAGGTTTGCGGCTGTGACTCTCTGACTCCATTTCTGTCTTCTGTCTTCTCCAACTCAGGGACCTTTCTCTGTGATCCTGGGGGGCTCCCGTCCCCTCAAGAAGGCCTGGGGACCAACTCTGAGTGCACTTAGGGCCCCATGCAAGGCCTGCATCAGCCAAGGGCACCCCCCACCCCCGCCAGGTCATGCCTCCCACTGATGAGCTTGCTGTGAAGGCTGGCCTCATGCATTCTTCCAACAGAGTCAGCCAGCACTTATGGGGCACCTACTTTGTGCCAGGCTCTGTTCTGGGCTCTGTTCACTGGACATAGCAGTGAAGCAGAGACAGGCCCGTGCGGCCAGGAGCCTCATGCTCTTGTGGGGGAGCCTGTGATAACCAGGGAACCAATGAGAAATAGCCCTGCAGGTAACTAAACGAGGGGCCGTGGATGAGAGGGAGGTCACTGGTCCCTTCTGAGATGACACCTGAGTGGAGAGAAGGAGCCAGTAGGGCAACGTCGGGCAGAAGGGCGCCCCTGGCAGAAAGAACACCTGGTCCTAAGGCAGGAGAGGCCTGTGTGGGTGACAGCGGCAAGGAAGGGGTCGTGGGGAGTTAAGGAGGGGGAATAGGGGACAAGGTGGGAGGGCCATCGCCCCACTTCCTGCAGGGCAGCAGTGCCGGGATGAAGAGCAACCCTGATGGGCCGTGGGTGGCTCCCTGGCTCTGAGGGAGCAACTCCTCAGAGGGACATCCCCACTCTCAGAGCCCAGCCCAGTGATTCGTGAGGACACAACTTTATTGGTACCTGCCCTTCCCTCGCTCACTCCCTCTCCTGCTGGTGTTTCCTGGGGCCATCCCCACATGACCCACCCCCGAAGGTCAAGGTTGCCGGGGACATACAGGCCGGGCCAGTAAAAACAGCAGCGACGGAACCAGCTCCCTTTCTTGGGATGTGCTCCATGGCAGGGCCCCATGGGGATTCGATAGGGACTAACCCATCCAATCCCCGGCAGCCACGAATGCACGAGGGTGGGGTACCCGGCCATGTGCTCTAGGTGCTGCGCCAACTGCTGGGGATGGCGGTGAACAAACGCACAGAAACTTCTGTCTCTGGAGCTCATGTTCCCGTGGGGGACGCTGACAACAAGGGAGGTAAATAAGCAAGATATTTGGTGTGTTAGAAGGTAGTAATCATTAGGGAGAACACTAAAGGAGGGATGGGGAGTCTAGGCGGTGACCTTTGCAGAGGTACCCAGACAGAGCCTCAATGAGCAGGGGGAGGAAACAGGCTGACTGGCATCAGAGGGAACAGCAGGTGCAAAGGCCCTGAGGTGCGAGGCCAGTGGAGCTGTGGGTGTGGGGAGGGTAATAGGACAGGAGGTCCAGGAGGTAACAAGGCAGGCGTGTAAGCTTTATCCTGAGGGAGGTGGAGATCTGGGAGGGTTTTCCACAGGAGAAAGGCCTATGACAGGTGTGAACAGCAGTCCTCTGGCTGTCCTCTGGCTGGTGTGAAAGCAGACCACAGGAGGGAGGGCAGAGCAGGGGACCAGTGAGAGGTGCGGGCCTCTGTCCGAGCCACTGGCGTAGGGTGAGGAGGGACTGACTCTGGGTAGGTGCTGAGGCTGACTCCATGGGACCTGCCAAGGAGGGTGTGAGACGGAGGGCCGCTCTTGCTATCACCAGGTTTCGGATGGGAACACAGGCATGAGTAAGTAGCTCAAGGTCACGGTTAGTAAGTGGCAAAAATTGGTATATTTTTATATGAAATCTGCCTTTCGAAAATGCTGGCAGTAAAAATTTTTTATGTCAGGGCCGTGTGGAAGAGACAAGAGCTCACCCCCAGCCACTGCAGGGGTGTACTCCATTGGCATCGAGGAGCCAGGTCTCAGGGGGCACAGCAGGTGGGCAGCCGTGGGAATCCATCCAGATCCAGGGTGCTGATTTGTGCTGCACCCTGCTGGGCTGCTGAGGGAGGCAGGCAGAGGTGGCTCGTAGAGCATCCCAGGCCGGGGGTAATTGTGTGTGTGTGTGGTGGCGGGAAGGGCTGGGGGGTGCACAGAGGAAGTGCAGTTGGAGGAGGAGGGAACTGCCCAAAGCCCCACAGCTGAGATGCGAGTATTGGCTGTGGGAAGACTCCCAGAGGGGGCAGAACTGGGATCCATGGGTACACATGGGCATACATGGGCTCCTGTATGTCTACAACTGGGCCCAGGACCCAGAGCATGTCCCAGACTGGCGAGAGTCACTGCTGACTGATCCTGCCCATGTGCACTTTATGAGTCATAAACAGCAACCCAACTGCAACAGCCTTCAGCATCAAAGAGAATTTATTGCCTCACATAACGAGAGGATAGGCTTCAGGCAGAGCTGGATCCAGGTGCTCAGTGGATTCCTTCAGGTATCTGTTGCTCTTCGTCTCTTTGTCAGTCTTCCTCAGTGTAGATGTCCCTCTTTTGTGGTGTAAACTTCACTCCCTTCATGGTGACAGGATGATAATAGCAGCTTCAAATTAATATCAACCAACTCAGCAATCCCAGCTGGAAAACAGGACCTTGTTCCCAAGGGCTGCAGAAAAAAACCCAGTGACATGCCCAGCCCCCGCCACCCCCACATTTTGGAGGTGTGGAGGAACCCTGCCTGGGATCCTGGAACCAGTGAGACCTGGGCTTCTGTGCCTATGACCTGCTGAGTGACTGTCCCCTCCCTGAGTCCCCTCCCCTATAGCTATGAAGTAGGTACAGCCACAGTGCACAGAGAACAAGGACAAGATGCAGGCATTGTCTTGGGGGGCGATGGCACCACCCGGGAAGGTGCCTCAGTCACCTAGGGGAAATGAGGGTGAGGATTCGCACCTTGTGGGTGTCACGAGAGAAAGCGTGTGGCACACCCTGCCACGCCCACCCCACTCTGTACCAGCCCCCGCGTCCCAGAATCCTCTCTTTTTGGCTGGATCGTCACTCTTTTAGGGGCAAGCTGGGCCTGGAAGAATGAGCAGGAGAGGAGAATCGTGGGACGGGAGCTCCGGGCGGACCACAGCGTGAGCTAGGGTGTGGCAGCTAAGGTGTGGCGGTGGGAAGAGGCTGCCCCGAGGCAAGGGAGCCCCAGGGAGCTTGTTTGGAGCTGTCTTGGGCTGCGGTGGGCCTGGTGAGCGGGCAGGGGAAGCGGGGGGGGGGGCGGGGGGGGCGATTGGGCTGGCAGAAGGTCCTGCAAGGTGACCTCAGGCCTGGCCCTCCCTCTCCAGGTCACGGTCTCCCCCGGCTGCACCGTGAACAGCAGCGGCCCAGATGCCTTGGTGAGGGCTGCTGGCTGGGAGAACAGTTGCGGGGGCCCTGTCCAGAACCAGCAGCCTCAGTGTTTCCACCCGAGATGTGGGCACCCCCAGGCCTGGGCCTCTTTCCACTGCCTTCCGGCCACCGGGAGATGCTTGTCTGTTTTATCAGTGGCACCCCATGACTCTGACAACCGTCTCTCCTTATCAGCAGTCCCCCCGTCTGTCCATGGGGTGACAGGCGCCCCACTGGCCAGTGTGTCCACACTCAGACCCCCAGTTCCCAGGGAACTGCACCGGGCCCAGCAATGCGCTGGGACCCGGGCTGGGCATGTCACTGTGCCCAGGGCCGGGAGTTGGCAGAGGCCATGTCCCCCCCAACAGGGTTCCTGGTGCTGGGGGGGCTGAGGCAGAGGACCAAAGCCTCCCCCTGCCTCAGTTTCCCCTTTGTGAAGGAAGTCCAGGAAGCAGGGGTTCCCAGAGCGGTTCCTTGCCTCCCAGCCCATCCCTGAGCCAGGGGGCAGCGGTGCCAGGAGGGCCAGGGCACCACCCTCTGAGCTCCGGCCTCCTGTTGCAGCACCACTGTCCTTTGAGCCTCTTCCTCCTGCTCCGGCCATTGGCAGCCATCTGCGAGGGGAGCCCTGAGGCATCGAGAGAGGAGGGGCTTTGTTTGACGCCCCACAGGGAGACAGGCAGAGCATGAGTAGACCTGACACCAGGCGCTGTCAGGCAGAAGGAACACTGAGGGCAAAGGCCTGGAGAACGGGCGGACCCTCAGGGGACACTGGCCAGGCCTCCATGAGCTTGGACTCAGCCCAGGGGAGGCTCTGGAGCCCGGCTGCTGGGGGACCCCGAGGGCCCGGGTGGTGGCATGGCTACATTTCCCTGTGGCCTGCTGGACACAGAGAACTAGCGAATTGTGACTGGTCGGTGCCTGTCACCTGCCCCACCGGCCCGCGGCATGTCTGATGAGGGCGTGAGCTGCTTCATCTCAGCACACCCATTACACAGCAGTCCTGCCTGGTGCCCACCTACGCACCCCTGCCCTCAGAGCTGTCTGGCCCACTTCTGCCGGGACCCTGCCTGCAGCCCCCTCCCCAGCTGCCCCCCCATCTGGTTTTCCTCCTCCCTCCCCTGCTCCTCTGCCTTCTCTCTGGTCTCCCCTGCCACTGCCTGAGCCTTAGGCACACCCCCCCCTCCACCCAAGGGCTGTGGAGGGCAGACTCGGGGGTCCACACCATGCTCATCAAGGTGTCTGGCCCAAACCCAGCCCTGCTGCTGGGATCCCCTCTTGGTGGGCCCACGGTGGGCCCAGTGACCCCACAGAGAGGCTGGCCAGGCCTCCTGGGTCCCCTTCCTCTCGGCTCCCACCTGGGCCCAAGCAGTGCCAAGGCCAGCAGAGGACTTCATCTCGCGATCACTCCTGCCCTGCCTCCTCCTCCCCAGCTCTACTGAGCCCCCGCCCCATCCCCTCACCTGGCCTCGCAGGGCACGCCCTTCCTGGCCCGTGACCTCATGCGTCCTCCCCCTGGATGCAGGTCTCCCCCACATGGATCTGAGCAGGTCCCTCGTGATGCTGGTGGAGGTGGAGGCGGAGGTGGTGGTCTTGGGTGGGGGTGAGGTTGGTGGTCGTACAATGGCAGTCTAGGGACAGGGTAAGGAACTGGCGCGCGACATCCTGCTTGGGTAGTGACCTGGGAGGACACAGGATGGGTCAGCACTGGCTCCTGTGGCCTGGCCTGGACTCTGGCTCTGGAACCCTTGGGAAATTTGGAGCTCCGGGGGGAGGCCTGGCTCCTGCGCCCCACCTGGCCTGCCCCCCACCTGCCTTTCTGCTTTCAAGCCAGGAGCCTCTCAGGGCCTTGTCAGCCTCTGAGGGAACTTAAGAGGTGGGGTGAGGAGGGGGCCCTGAGAGGCTGCAGGGTTGGGGGGGCGGGAGGGTGTGATCGCAACTGGTGGGAGCAGACACGGGTGGACAAGGCAGGGAGAAAGGATTCGAGGAGAGGGCGACCCGAACTCCACTGGTGCCCTTGGCAGGGACCGGCCCACGGAGCCGCACTTCCAGCCCGCCCCTCCAATCTGCCCCCACCTCAGTGCGCTGCCCAGCAGGGCCTGTGCGCGACAGGCTCAGGGCCCCGGCCTCGGGCTGTGGCAGCTGGGAGGAGAGAGAGTGATGCGGAGACCCAGAGACAGGAGACAGGTGGTGCTGGAGGGAGCGAAGGCAGACCCTGCGGGGAGGCAAGCGGCCTGTGTGCCGCCACAGGGGCCACAGGGGCCATCGGCCTCCCCCAACCCAAATGGTCCGGCCACAGGCACCCTCACCGGCCACCTTCCTTAGCTCGGTGGGGCTCAGTTGGGCCCCGGGGAAGCTGACAGGACCCAACCTGGGGAGAGAGTGGGCGTGTGCAGGTCAGGGGAGGAGAGGCTTGGCCCCCTGCAGAGCAGGGTGGCAGTTAGCCCTGTTTGCTGGGGACTGTGCTGGAAGCCTGGAGGCTGAGGGCTGAGTCTGTGGGGTGTCCCTGGAGGGGCCAGGCAGGTGGCTGAACCTGGCCCCTTACCCCAGCCTCCCCAGGTCAGCCTGGGCTCCCAGCTGGCCTTTATCTGGAGCCCCAGCTGTGGCCACGGGAAGTGGCCGTTTCTCTCTGCTGTGCTGTCTCCCCACCAGACCCGGTGATGGTGATAACATGGGAGAGTGTGGGGGGGATTGAGCAATCCCTCCTGGTGGGGCACACGGGGAGGCTCCGGGGTGCATGACCTCTGACCTGCTGGCCCTGCGGGGGGTGGAGCGCAGGGCAGCCTGTCCTGCCTGATGGCTGCGCTACACACAGGAGGCCGCTGAGGGGCAGGGGTCGCAGGCCACACTGCATGGGCTCCGGGCTGCCTGCACCCACTGTATCCAGGGAGCACCGGGCGGTGAGCCCAGGGCCCGGCACATGGGAGGTGCTCAATAAATGTGGAATGACCAACTTTGGGCCTCTTCCCAAATCTATCCCTGTTCCCAGTTTTCACTCCCCTACGCTGGATCCCCAAACCTTCCCAGAAGCCCTCTTCTTCCTCCCAGGGCTCAGCCTCACCCCTCCCCTGCTCCTAGGCCAACTGACAACCAAAACCAATCCTGGGAGCCTTCCTCCAACCCTGTGGTCTCTGCCCCTCTCGGGTGAGGGTCCCTGACGTCCAGGCCCTGGACATTCAGAACTGGTATGAAGTTGGGGCCAGAGGGGTCTCTTGAAGCCCAGATCTGATGCACTCCCCTTGCTTACACCCTGCAAGACGACTGGCAGCAGGCTTCAAGGCCTCTGGCCCCACCCAGCCTGCCTCCACAGCGGCCTCCTTTGCTTCCCCTACCCCCACCACTGGCTCTCAGTGAGGGAATGGGCCTTGGACAGAGGAGCCCAGGGTTGGGGTCAGCTGCTCCCCGAGGGAGCACAAAGCACCCCCCACCCCACCGTCCCCTAGCTGTGGGCTGCTGCCTCCCCACGATCAAGCCCCAGTGCTGGCCGAGCATGGCTAATTAACGGCACGACTCTGTTATCAGCCAAGTGCTAATTACTCTTTTGAATCAGAGCTGCCTGAGTGGAGGCTCCTGGAGGCCCAGCAGGGGGTGGGGGGAGCCGGGGAGCTGGGGAGCCTTGACCTCATCCCTCTTCACACAGGCCCTATCTAGTGCTCTCCTCGAGCCTCTGCTGGATGGCACCGCTCCTCCTGGCGGACTCCTACTCTCTCTTCAAGACCTTGCCCCGGCGCCCCCTCAGCGAGAGGCCTCTTCTCACCTGTCATGGCCACGGAGGACGACATGGCTAACGTAGGAGCGGAGAGGCTGTGAGCAGGACTGGCCGTGGTCTCCAGAAGGGGCGCTGGAAATGCTAAATCCCAGGTAAAGGCAGAGGAGGCGGGGAAGGCCCGATGCCTGGATCAACCCGAGGGTGAGCTGGCACTGAGAGGGTCCTGGCTCAACTTGAGGGGGCCTCTGAGTCCCCAGAATGGGGGCAATGAGCCCCATTCCCATCCCACCAGGTCCTGGGAAACCAGGCCCCACCGACTCTCAAGCCCCTGTGGCCCAAGGGACAAACGTGTCACCACCCTGTGCACACTGGGCCCAATACCCTTCTTCTTCACCCCGTTCCCACACAGACACACCGGAGAGCCACAGCCTGACAGACTGCCCTCCCTGAGCACACACGGAGATACACACACACCCAAGACACCAAGGTCCATGCACACACCCAGCTGTCGACAGCCACAGATACCCGGAACACAGACCCACGCCCAAACACGCACCCCCACACACACACACGGGCAGGGCAGGAGGCCTGGGAGAACAGAAGCTGCCCCTTCTCCTGCCCCGGGCCCCCAGGGCTTCCCGTTTACGAGACTTTATCTATCAAAAATATATTAACCCAGAAGCCTGTTTCCATCAGAGTCTTGATTCCAGGGACATTTCCAGATAAGCCTTATCTCATTGCTGGTGCATTAGCCCCGCTGGTCGGGGGCCTGCCAATCATGGCCACCCCTCCTGCCCCAGCCCGTGGCAGGATGCCTGCCCATGACTTCATTCTGTATGCGCAGGCGGGCAGGCGGGGGCGAGGGGAGAGTTGGGCGGGGCACTGCTGCCCCTTGCCCCCCACCCCATCCCTCTGCCCGAAGCAGGGCCCCAGAAGGCACCTCTTTCCAAGGACACACCCAAGGCCTGAGGCGAGGGACGTGGGGATGTCTGGAATCATGCAGAGCCTGGATTCAAGTCCCAGCTCTATCTGAGGCAATGGCTATGGTCAGCCGAGCCCCAGTCCCTGCCACCTCCCACATCTACAGTTGAGGCAGTGCTTCCCAGACCACCCTTACGGGTAGAAGCGCAGATTCAGCAAGCTGATGTGTGTGAGGACGGCTGCAGGGGGCTTGCACTCTTTTCTGTAGCACCTAGAGCTGGCTGGGGAGCCAGGGGAAGGGGGACACTGCTGTGGGGGCGCCCCTGGACGCTGCTGGCCCCCACCCCTGCCCACCCACCCTGGCTGCACTTCTCCTTCAAGGGCTGTGTCCCGGCCTAGCCCGGCTAATGGGTGCTTGGGTTTCTTCTGATGCCAGGCCTGATAGAGGCCTCTCCCCGAGCAGGCTGCAGCCCGCACTCTCTGGGGGCCCCGAGGCTTCTGGGAGTCACACACGGGGCGGCCCCGCCTGTTCTCTGTGGCTCAGTGTCCTCCGCCTGAGTCTGCCTCCTCTCCTGTCTGCAGGCGAGATGGGAGGCAGGGAGAAAGCTGTGGGTGGGTGTGGGCATGTCAACAGAGGTCCTAGAAAAATGGCCAGTTTGGAGCAGAGCTGGGCCCTGGGGCTGTCTGCACCACTCCTGAAGGGCTCGTGGGCCCCTCACCTCCCAGTGGTGAGACCATGTCTGCTGGTCCCGCTTCCAGGGCTGCAGGTAATACGATGGGCAGCAGGGTGCCCAGTACCCGAACAACCCCACAAAGCAGCTGCTTTTGTTCTCATTTTTATACATGGGGGGACTGAGGCACAGAGGTCAGGGGACTTGCCCAAGATCACACAAGCAGAGGGGCCAGGATGAACAGGTGGTGGCTTGCGTGCACTCTGTTTCCCCTCCCCCATGGATCTGCTAGTCCCTGCTTAGTGACCCCTCTATGCCTGCTGGGCAGTGGAGTGGGGGGCTCTGCTGGGTCACATAACCCCTCATTTGGAGAGAGGGACAGTGATATGCCCAAGGGTAGGGCAGGACCCTGCCCCTGAGGCCAGGGCGACTCTCCATCTCAACTGGCAGGGACCCCCAGAAGGGGCCCAGAAGGAGGGGTCAGCCTCACATCCCTTGGTCAGGTAGGACTTGGCCTGGCTGGGGAGTACCCAGCACTCTGGCCTCAGTTCTCCACACATTGAGGATGATGCTAGAGGGAGTTTCCTCATCTAAGATGCAAGGCCTGGGGAGACCCCAGCTCCTCCCAGCTGTGTCCACTCCAAAGGGTTGATAGCCACGGGAGGTGACCAGCCTGGGACCTGTGCCCTGAAGCCCTGTGGGAAACCCTAGCTTTCTGCCTCACTGGCCTGGAATGGCTTCAGCCACATGGCACCACCTCCCTGGTGAGATGGTCTGTCCCACAGGGGTGGGGGTTAAATGAGAGTGGGCCTGGAGCCCGGTCCGCAGAGGGGTCAGGGCCAGGCAAGAAGTACCACTGCTGACGCTGGAGAGGGCCCCTCAGGCAGTGGCAGTGAGGCTCCAAGGGGCCAAGGGACAGCCGGCTCGAAGCACCCCCCACACCCGCCCACTCCCAGTTCATTCCCAGCCCAGGGGAACGTGGGGGCCGGGCCTGGACTCGCCCTGCCTACCCAGGCCCCTACTGCCACTCTCTGCTCTCAGCTCCAGGAAGGAACCACTCCAAGTCACTGGACTGCTACTGCCCCGCTAATACTTTCTTTGCTTTTAAGATTTTATTTATTTATTTGACAAAGAGAAAGCACACAAGCAGGGGGAGCAGCAGGCGGAGGGAGAGGGTGAAGCAGACATCCTGCTGAGCAGGGAGCCCGATGATGCGGGGCTCGATCCTAGGACCCTGAGATCATGACCTGAGCTGAAGGCAGACGCTTGACTGACTGAGCCACCCAGGCGCCCCGCCCCCCCGTTAATATTTTTGATGCCACTTTTGCAAATTGAAGCATAACGCACCAGGATGAAAGGGCAGCCTCTGCGTCTGTTTGGAGGCCAAATAAAGAAGCGCTGGAACATCTGTACATCCTACAAAGCTTTGATTTCTCTCATTCAGTTAGTTTCGCCATCGCGCCCTTTTCTGAGCATCCACAGCTCAGGCTGCGGGGTGGGGTGGCCTGTGGGCCAGGGCGGAGGAGCAAGGGTAGGGCTTCCTGGGCTTTGGAGGGGGCTGTGCTCATGGTCCCTGGCCCACAGGGTGCTCTGCACAGTGTTCTGTCACCTGCCCTCACCTCCACACCTTGGGGAGTATGGGCCCCAAACTCGAGGGCAGAGGCCTAGGGACTGCTGGTGTGGGGCCGGGGAAGCAATCCCTCCAGCCTGCCTCTGCCCTGATGCCCTGGCCGGGCACCTTGTGGCTCCCCAGCACTCCATGGATCCCCGTCCTGGCAGAGCCCTCTCTGGACTTGGCTGTCCAGAGAACCCCCCCACCATGTCCCTCAAGGCCCAGGAGACCCCATGGGCCACCAGCCTGGCCTAGGGGCCTGACACCCTGTGGACTCCTCAGCCCACTCCCACTGGGCTCTGAGTTCTGGTCCCTCCAGCTCTTCTCTGGGCGGGAACGCTGCTGAACCCCTTGACGTTCCCCTTGGGAACAGGCATGGGGAGCCCCTCCCAGTGAAATCACAGAGACCAACAGAGTGGGCAGACACCATGGGACATTTATTTGCAGCTGGTTAAGGGCCAGGCCCCACCTGGGGCAGGGTGTGGACTGGCCCTCCCATGGCTACCAGTGGGGCGGCCTGGGAAACACTGGCCCCCAGTAGGTGCGAGAGTGCCGGGACAGACCCTCTGGGCCCCAGCCCTGGTGTCACTGCCACCGCACCCCCCCAGGCTTTTCACCGGGGCTTAGCGCCAGGCCTAGGGCTCGTGTCTGCAGGGTCATGCGGAGGGACATACTGAAGGAGGTTGAGGCACATCTGGTCGGACACTTGGCAATGCAGCCCAGCCCAGGGCCTGGGCAGGGTCACTGGAACACTCAGGGAGACTGGACCATGCGCTTGTGGGTATCAAAGACGTAACGCTTAAAAGACAGGCTTAGGGCCACGTGCTGCGCAGGCTCGGACCGCTCAGCCAGCTCCTCCAGCTTGGCTGCTTCTCCTCGGCCGGCCCGGCCCCGCTTCTTGAGGGTGGGTGTTAGAATCTTCTTGGACTCGGAGCTGAGGCCACCTGCAAGCACAGAAGGAGAGCCTATTACTCCGCCACTCCCTAGCCTGTGCACTCACCACCCTGGATGGGGACCCACTCAGACCAGCTCTGTACAAGCAGAGGGAGTCTCCTAGGCCCATCCCTCACACTCTCCTAGGCTGAGCCAGGACCCCAGTGCTACCCTGAGCTCACCCTCTTCTGCCTCCTTCCCCAGCCAATGCCCTGAGGCCTAGGGTCCACTCTGCCACCTGAATCCCTACATTCCAGCCCCTCCCCCACCATGCTAGTCCATGTCATGGGCCTGTCCAGCTTGGAGCTCAGCAGGGCTCCCCACCTCCATCTCCCAGCCCCCTGCCCACCCATCCACTCTGTACTCAGGCTCCTGTGCGGCTCAGCCCCACACTTGGTGGCCATGTCCTTCTGCTCTAAATGGTTCCGTTGTTTCCCAGGACACTCACGCTAAAACACATACACTGGAACTTGACATTTGAGGCTCCCTGGGCTAGGTGTTCTCCAATTGCCCCTGGAGATCCACTCTGCTCCTCTGCGTGTTTGGGAGGCTGACCTCTGCAGACAGCACGTGGGCTCCTGTGCCCTCTGGCTTCTGGTTGGGTTCAGCCAATGGGAGCCCCAGCAGATCAGAGGGTGGGAGGAGAGAGCAGCTGGGGTATTGATTTCTGTTCCCTAAGGCCAGATCTCCTATTGGGGAGCCTTCTCCCTGGGCTTTTGCAAACGGGGCTCCTCCACCCCCATGCAGGGGTGAGAGTGGCCCCCACTGGTTTCCATCACATCTTACCAGCTCCTTTAAACAACCACCCTCTGTTCACTCCCTCCACTATGTTCAATATATGGACTTTAAATTCACCCTCTCCAGCCAAATGATTGAGTGGAAATCAGTTTCTTGCTAAGACCCTAAGGCTAACCCCAACTCTCCAGGCCCCTTCACCCATTGCTTTTGTGCATTCCCTGCTGCCTTGAGGAACACGTGGCCAGTCCTGGGCTCCCTGCAGTCACACTTATGAGCCTCTGCATAGGCTGTCCCCTCTGCCTGGAACGCCCTCCCCCACCCCTTGCCAATGTTAGAAGTCTCACTTTTCTTTGAGCACCAGGCTGCAATCCTTGAGCACCAGGCTTTCTCCGGGGCTAGTCTTTATAAGGAAACTGCTTGGTAGCAACATGGTGCAGCGTCTTTGGGGGCTGCTGGCCAGGGTGAGTGCTCGGCTGCTTCGAGCATGGGTGGGGAGGCTCTGGTTCCCCCAAGGCTGTGGCCAGGCCTCAAACCAGCTCTGTACAAGCAGAGAACTCTGGAACAGGCTGCTCACAACCCTGCTGAGGGAACCTGGTGGGAGCAAGCTGGCAAGGCTGTGGGGGTGGGGCGGAGCAGAGGCGGTGCCATGAGACTTGCATGGGGCAAGGAGGCCCAGTGAGTGGCAGCTCCAGGAGCGACTACTGGGAGAGCTGGGTACACAGCCTTCATTCCCTGGCAAGGGGCAAGTGAGGTGGAGCCCAGCCCACACTGTGCTTGCCAAGAGGGGTCCTAGCTGGCCTGTGTCCCCCCACTTTCTTCCAATATGCACAGAGGGGCTGTATTGGCCAGTGGACCTAGAGGCTGAGTCCAAAGCTGGCGGGAAGCTGGGGGTAGGCACCAAGCAGAGGACTCCCTTCCCTCTGATCTGTGTCTGCCAGTGCCTAAAGGGCTCCCTTCCCTCTGATCTGTGTCTGCCAGTGCCTTAAGGGCATCCTCCTTTGCTCCAAGGTTGGCCGGGTGTTAGCGGTCTCCCTGAGAAGCCAGATGTGATGTTCTGGTGTCAAGCTTCAGTGGCCAGGAGGACCTTTGCTCATCATGTCTCCACCAGGTGGGGAGCTCTGGGAGGCAGGGGTGTGTAGATTATTCTGCTCAGACCAAGCACTTATGCATGTTTGCTGAAGCAACCCCTTCATCTTACAGAGGAGAAATCGGAGCCCCAAGGAGGGCACGGACTCCATCCAGGCCCCACAGTGAGTCAGGAAGGGCGAGGGTTTGAACTCTGGGCTTGCACCTGCTGGCAAATGCAGGTTACTGCTCCCAAGCCCATCACTCAGTGGGGGTCCACCTTCGGCAGACTCCTGAAGATGATCCTGCAGGGGAATATAGGCTGTGAGAGCACCCTGGATGTTTAGAAAGGTGACCAGGAGGCTGCTTTAAGGCACACTGGAGAGTCAGCCAGGGATCCTCCTCTAAGAAGGACTCGGTCTCCCTTCCACAGGCAGAGGTGAGACTCCTGGCCTCTCAAAGCCTGCACCCCCCAGGAAGGCCGGACTCGTGGCTGATGTGAATGGGGCTCTGGGATGCTAGGGGCCTGCGGGACCCGAACCAAGGGGAGCCGTCCTCCGGCTGGGCAGCACGGTGTCTGATCGCAGGCCCCACACCCAGCCAGTCAGCGTACCTCTGGGATGGGGTGTGGGAATGGCCCCAGGCCAGGCCCCTAAGCTAGTGCCAGGCCCGCAGGTATCTGCCTCCCCAAATTGGAGCCCCGGCCTTCCTTTTGCAAACAGAGAAGGTGGCTGGCACCAGACCCTGACAAATGGCATGGGCAGCCTGTCTCCCTCTGGTGCCAGGAGGTCTGATGGCTGAAGAGGTGCGGGGCTCCCCGGCGTCTGCGCCGGGCTGGGGAGACAGGCGTGGCCCAATCGGCAGTCCATCTCGCCCGCGCTGGCTCCCATTACACACGGTGCATACCTCACACTGCCCAAAGCAGGCAGACCCAGAAAATCTCTCTGGCACTGGCGAAGATGTGGCCATTTAATTGCTCTTCTGAGATGGTCAGGCTCATTTTCCTCCGCTCCGTTTGGGGGTGGCTTGGACACAACGCCCAGAAAGCCTTACCAACGGGTGAAGCTGTGGATTTGGAGCAAATGTCCCTGGGAGCCACTCTGTTTTACACTGGCCTTTCTCCCCCTTAGCCAGACAGCCAAAGGAGGGAAGTGAAGGGCAGCTCAGGATGTTGGGGGTCGGAGCGGCTGCCCACACTGAGCTTCTCCCAACCTGCCCCTATGTCTTTCCCTGGAAAACATTCACACAGTGCTCCAGGACTGGAAACAATGGTGGTGAACACACAGACCAGGGCCTGGCCCCCATGGAGTTTACAAGTCTGAGAAGGGGCAGAGAGAAGATAGGCCAGCAAGATAATCCAGATAGCCACCAAGGCAATCAAGGAAGCAAAACTGCTGTGTCACCAGGAGGGGAGGGTGGCCAGGTTGTATGTGCCCAGGGCTGGCTTTTCTGAGGAAGAGTTCTGAACGGGGGTGGGGTGGGGGGGTGGGGGGGGTCCAGGTGACAGGGACTGGCTGCATGGGGATCCTGGGCAAGGGTCCACAGGCAAAGGGAATCTGAGTGCCCAGTTCTGGCAGGCCAGGGTGGGGGAGGGCATGAGCATGATGCTTGAGGATGTGCAGCTGCATGCTGGGAGGGCTGCAGGGAGACCACAGCTTACCACGTCCATGTCATGCAACCTGTGTGCCAAGTTCTTGGGGGCCCAAACCAGGGAGGGTCCCAGAGACCTTGGGGGACCCAGAGTGGTGAGGGCGGCGGCCAAATGCCAACTGTCCACCTGCCTGGCGTCCAACAGGGCTCCTGACACTTCCCGTAGGCCCCGGGGAGACAGAGGCAAGCAGGACCGTCCTGCTCTCATGGAGCTACCATCTTCTCCTAGGGACCGCCCTCTGAAGCACCCTCTGGTAGGCCACATAGGTCGGGCAGCTGCGTGTTGCCCCTTCTGGGATGGCCCCTGACCTGGGGAGCATGCTCGGAGCTCCTGGCCGCTGACTCCTGCACCCCTCTCCTCCCACGTGACCTGGCCCGTATCGCGTCCCCTCACCCCAATACACCAGGTGCATTCCCACCTCAGGGCCTTGGCATTCACTGGTTCTTCCGTTGAAAGATCCGCCCCAGGAGTTCCACTGGCTCCCAGTTCCACCGCCTAATCGCTGTGCAAATGTCACCTCCCGGTGAGGCCTTCCTGACCACCTTCACCCCCGCTGCCCCAACCCCTCCTACCCAGCTCTATTTTTTCCAAGCTATTATCACCTTCCAACACATCGCTGTGAGTTCCTCATTCTGATGTCTGTCGTCTGTCCCTGCCAAAATGCAACTTCTACCATGGCAGGGATTTTGTCTCTCTATGCACGGCTGGAGGCCCAACACCTCGAATGACCCCTGGCTCAGAGGAGGGGCTCGAAGAATACTACCAAGGAATAAGCACCGGCTATGAAGCTCCCGCGATGGTCACTGCATGGACCCAGCAACCCATCCTAGGCATTCAGTCCTAACAAGGAAACAGATGTGTACACATGGATGTCCCCACGCATGCAGGCTCTTAGCCCTCACAGCACGGTGGGGAAGACGCCGAGGCCCAGGCCAGTAACTGGCCCCAGGCCACACAGGTCTGGAGAGGCAGAGCTGGGCTCGGTGAGGTGACTTGGTGCCAAGGTCTGGGTGCACCACCGAGGCCTGTGAAGTTACAGGGGCGCAGAGACCCACAGGAGGGCAGTCAGGATAGGACCGGCGTGCATTTGCTGTGGCAAAATATTCCGGGAGATGAAGTGACACCTGAGAAGCGCTTAAAGTTACACAAAGACAAACTTACAAGTTAATTGGAAAAAAAAAATCCCACAGGAATAAAAATTGTTGGAAGAGTTCTGCTCTAACTCTGGGTTGCAGAAAGAAAAGACTAGAAGACTATCCACTAGGCTGTCAGAGATCAGAAGTTACAGGCAACGCTTTCTTCTTCCATCTACTTTTCTCTGCTTCCCAAGGTTTCTTTCTTTCTTTTTTTTTTTTTTAAAGATTTTATTTATTTGAGAGAGAGAGAGAACAGGAGCCAGGGGAGGGGCAGAGGAAGAGGGCGAAGTAGACTCCCCACTAGCCTGACGTGGGGTTTGATCCCAGGACCCTGAGATCATGACCTGAGCTGAAGGCAGACGCTTAACTGACTGAGCCACCCAGGTGCCCCTCTGCTCCCCAAAGTTTCTCCTGTGAGCCT